GAATTAAAGTGTGACTTTCATCATCTTCAGACTACCGTTCAAAAATTTATTCAGCAAGGATTGATTGATAAATTGATCTAAATTCATTTATAATGCTATAAAAAAACTGTCTAGTCATCAAAAAATTCTGAAAAATTGTCATGTCATGATTTCCACAAAAATATGAAGCAGCACAACTGTTTTTTTTCAACGTTGGTATTAATAAGAAATGTTTTTTAAGCAGCAAATCAGCATATTAGAATGATTTCTGAAGGATCATGTGACACTGAAGACTGGAGTAATGATGCTGAAAATTCAGCTTTGCCATTACAGGAATTAATTACATGTTAAAATATATTATAATAGAAAACAATTATTTCAAATTGTAATAATGTTTGACAATATTTCTGATATTACTGTATAGTTAATCAAATAAATGCAGCAATTGTGAGCATACGAGACTGAAAAAAAAAAAAAAAAACTCAAACTCTAATCTTTGAACCTTATTTAATTAATTTCAATTAATAATTTGTTCATTTTCAATTCATTCATTTTCAAAGTAATATTTAACATAAATATTACAGCAGCATCAGAGCACTGGGTGTTTTAATTAGGCTGTATATCATTTTATTTTAATATTAAAAATGAATTGGACCAATGATGATTCTGACAGAAAACTCACCGGGGACCTACTGTTGCTATAGTAACGAACACAACCTTCACGTGCATCTGACTGACAGAAACCACACTCTTATTTCAGGTTTGTTTTTTTGTTTTTTTTTGATAGTTCAGCTAACAGTTTGCGTTGTACAGTTTAACATCATAAAGAAACACAACCTTCACGTGCATCTGACTGACAGAAACCACACTCTTATTTCAGGTTTGTTTTTTTGTTTTTTTTGATAGTTCAGCTAACAGTTTGCGTTGTACAGTTTAACATCATAAAGTTAAAGCTGAACTGTGCACATGTCTTTTTTGGCTCCCTTATATGTTCTTACTATGCCCATGTGTTAAATGTACATCCTTTAATGCAAGCAGTTTTCTAGTGTATTTCTTTAACTTCTCAGGTGATATTAAAGATGTGACCTATTACAGATGCGGCCGAAATTAAAACAGTGGTGGCATATACATATATTTACTTGTTTGATCAAAATTATTGCTAGGGACAATTTAGTTGTCGCTGGATATTGGTAGGGACATGTCCCCATAGCGTCCCTACTAAATTCTGCGCCCTTGGTAAGAGGTGCGTGAGCAAGCAAAACTCACCAGCTCAGTGCCTTACTAGTTGCGGAGGTGTTCAGAGATTGCTGGCATGTTGTTAATGTCATTACTACGGTCCTCTGGGTGGTTGCATACTTAATGCAATTCGTCATCTCTCCTGTGAAAATCAAATCTGATTGATTAGAATAGGAAAATTCTGAACAGCTTAATATATCATTTATGTCAGTCTCACAAACGGTGCAGGATGAGTTTCCCACAGAGTTTTAAGAAAAGTATGAGCAATGCCAACAGTCACGAATTAAAGTAACAGCAATAGTGCTTCTGTTCAAAACAAACTCCTTGGTAATGCTGGGGACATTAAACATCTTTAAATGGAAGTAGCGTTTAATAATAATTATAATAAAAATGGGAATATGTGGGTGAAATATGAAGCACTAAATGCACAAGTTCCCTTAAACGCCCTTAACACTGAATTTATTTCAGACAAACAGCTTTTAAAGGGGTCATATGATGCAATTTCAATTTTTCCTTACTCTTTGGAGTGTTACAAGCTCTTGGTGCATAAAGAAGATCTGTAAAGTTGCAAAGACTAAAGTCTCAAATCCAAAGAGATATTCTTTATAAAAGTTAAGAGTCAACCACGCCTACCTAAAACGGCTCGTTCGAACACGCCCCCACATGTCTACGTCAAGATGTGGGAAGAGTTGCATAACGCCACTCAAATGTTCACGCAAAGAAAGAAGGCGTAACTTTTATTCTCGCTGTAGTATTGTTGTTGCCGCCGCCGCCATGTCGTGAAGGCGCTGTGTTTCGTTGTGAAAGTGAAACTACTTTGTTCGGCCTTCCAAAAGATTATGTATATTTATAATATATATTATAATATACATAATTGTTATGAAAATACCCGAGATGGCTTGAAAAACACAGATAAACTTGTCGCAATCGAGTGTTTATTGTCTTCATGTTTCATCATTCAAAACGTTTCTAGCCGGATGCCTTTGTCCATATTAGGGATTTCCTAGAGCGTCATCAGTTCTTTTACTTCTGTGATGCATGTGTGAAGTTTCTGCATGAGGGTGCCTTCAGCTACCAGTATGAATGAAACAGACATTACATGTGTTTATAGCACTCAATAATAGCCAATCCATAAAAATAATCCTTCTCTCAAAAGAATTTTATAAGTAATCCATGTTTTTCTATAGTGTACAGAAGTGTACTGGAGTTTTAATTAAAGTGTAGTGGGGTTGTTTTATATAACATTTTAAATCGCAAAAAAAAAAAAAAAAAAAAAAACCGTGGTTAAAAAAACTGAGGTATGTATTGAACCGTGGGCTATCTGTACTGTTGCATCCAAAAGTGAAAGTAAAGACATTAATAATATCACAAAATATTTCTATTTCAAATAAATGCTGTTCTTAAGAAATGTTTCTTGAGCAGCAAATTCACATATTAGAATGATTTCTGAAGGATCATGTGACACTGAAGACTGGAGTAATGATGCGTAAAATTCAGCTTTGCATTACAGGAATAAATTACATTTTAAAATATAATCAAATAGAAAATAGCCATTTAAACTATAATAATAGTTCACAATATTACTGCTTTCACTTTATGTTTGATCAAATAAATGCAGTTTTGGTGAGCAGAAGAGACTTGAACGGTAGTGTGTTATATAACTTTACGTATGTTTATAAGTTGACAGTAGTAAGAGGTAAGCGGATATATACAGTCGGGCGTGTGTACGTGTTTGACGCTTTTTCTCTCTCGTTCTCTTCCAAACTCTCTCGCACAGCATGGTTGCGTGATAAGTCGCGCTTGGCTAAGCCATCCGGAGCCAACAGCGCTCGAAGTCCAGGGCGATGTAATTCAACACAAACATGACACAAAAGGAAGAAGGCACCGCGCTCCAGGTGGAATGCTCCAGCAAAAACCTCCCAGAAAGTGCAGAGGAAGGCATCTCCCATTCTTCTACAAAATCCCACAGTCGGCTCCCTTTGTTTTCCCAAATTTAGCGCTGCGATTAGAGAGTACGGAGAAGAGAAGGCTAGAGAGCTAGAACTGGGAAGCAATGAAAACAAGATTCTCTCAAGGTCTCAGACAATCTTTTTCCCAGACAAATATGCAGCGGGCTGTTCTTCAGGTGTTTGTTTGTCAAAATCCCGAGCTTGATATGGCATCTGGCACTGATATATTATATTCCAGCGCTAATCCCGCCAGAACGGACGGGCCTCCGCTGCCATTTGGCTGCCAGATTCATTATCAGGTCAGGATCACAGAGCTAATTTACTAGTGAAACAAACAAAAGCTGTAAACACGCATGCAAGAACATGCAATCGTCAACAGATGCTATAAAAAAGAAACTCAAACACCCTCCGAGCAGAATGCATGTGCATCTGGCCGCTGATGTCATGCTTCATCTTTTGGCCGGACAGGAACATGTTATCAAAGCTCAAGAGAGCAGAGATTGTTTGTTTCTTATCTGCCCCAACCGTGGCCTTCAAAATCAGCCCTTGTCAACAGCAGAGAGGGGTGGGATGCGCCGCTGCCAGCTGCAGGGATGCAGACGTGCTGTTTTTAACTTGTTAAGATGAGCCCTTGAAACCAAACCGACCTCAAGACATTACACTCTTAAAAATAAAGCTTTTTTTTATTTTTTTTATGTTAATTGCAATTTAACAAGCATGAATTGAAAGACTGACTCAGTCATACATGTGACTGCATTAATATCAGATTAGCTCAAATCTTTTGTGGTTAACTGCTAGTTACACTGAAAAAAATGGCAACATCTAAGTCAACTGGTTAATCAGAATCAGAACTATTATTATCGCTAAATCAACCTAAATACATTCATCTGTATCAACAAAACTAAATTTTAAGGGTTAAATCAGGTAAAAATAGCTCTTTTGCAGGTCATCACTAACAGAAACCCCTAAAAATCCCAACTTAACAGAACATTAAACACTTACATATCTCTCACTCTAATGATCCTGTGCAAAAACACAAAAATAATACTTAATTTCAACATTTATTCTCCTACAGTTTGACTGTTTGGCATGCCGGTACCTAGAAATCTGTTGCTACTCTTTCATTTTAATTTCAGATTAATATAATCAATTATTGAGTTCATTCACTTTTTTCAAAGTACAATGAGCTTTTATTAATATTTGAGTGAAATGAACTAATTTAGTTAATTTTACTGTTTGTTTTTACAGTGTTGGCATCAATGGTTCCATGAAGAACCTTCTTTAGATTTATAAAATGTTCTTCAGTTCACAGTAGGAAAAAATGGTTCTTTTGAGAACCATTCCATGAAAGGTTCTGTGGGGAACCAAAAATGGTTGCATCGCTGCAAAAACCCATTTTAAAAACTACTTTCAAGAGTGTAAATACATGCGATTACATGATGAGCATTTTGTGAGTCAGATCCGATCCGTGGTGATTTTGAGGTTTAGCCTTGAGCTACAATCCAAATCAATAAACCTCAAGATCTTGCACCTTAATTGAGTATTTACACCACAGCACCTTCATTGCCATTTATAAGACTTCCATCCACAATACACTTAGGCGCACTTTCGAATTACCCAGCACCACACCAAAAGACCTTCAGAAACAAATAATGCAAAACAAACCCATCCGTGAGCGCACGCAACTCTCTAAATGCATCTGCGCAGACTTTAAACACTCAAGACTTTGATCTCCACCAGTTCTTGATGATAATGAGACCAAGCTTGGTGTATACGGATGAAAACCTGTGCGATGTGATGTAGTATAGGACTATTTTTATAAGGTGCCATAAAGAGATGGAGCTCAGCAGACCCTTTAAAGCGTTGGTGTTGCCCCGACCCCCTGGCCCTGGAGGTGATGGGTGAAGATAGTCTCTATCCATCTCTCAACATCACCCTTACCTCATCTGCCCAGCACAGCCTTCCATGAACGTCACAGGAGGACCACGCTGTTTATGTTTGCGCTGTTTTATTGTACTGTTTGTGCTATGGAGTCAATGAAAAACGTATGTGGGTCATTAGCGGAACAATGCATGGGTCAGTGTTATTGTTAGCAGACACTATAACAACAACTAAATTAAACCATTTAACTAAAAATAAATAAATAAAAAACAAGCATAATTTGGAAAAAAAATTGACACCACTAAAATACAAAACACAATCAAATTACCATAATTCAATTTTAAATTAACTTAGCCAAAAATACTAAAAATAATAACTCTTTACATTAAGGTTAAATTTGTTAAAATTACTTAATGCAATAGTTATCATGAACTAATAATAAACTTTTTTTTTCAGAATACATATTAGAATAAATTAAATATATAATGTATAATAAATAATAGGATAATATATATAACAGTACTATATTTAGAATATATATATAATAAAATAAATATATTATTATCATTAATTATATATTTATTATTATATTATATTATTGTTAATTAATAACTTGTTTTGTTTCTTAATTTAACTTAAAATTTTATAAATGTATCTTTGTAGAAATTGACAATGCTGTAAATATGATGTTCATTGTTAGTTCATAATACCCAATGCTTTAACTAATGTTAGGAAATTTATTATAAAGTATTGTGATGTAAATATACTGAAAACTAAAACTAAACTGAAACTAAACCAAAAGTAATAGAGTGAAAAGTAATGAAAAATTACCTGAAATAATAAGCATGTAAAATAAATAAACAACAACAAAAAAATTATAATATTCTACATGCTAATATTCAACATCATATTTGCGTTTTTCTTCCATCTGCAAAACATCCAGCATCTAGATACAACATTTTTTTCTTTACAAATGCCTGTATTATTGACAGTCTCTGAACATTTATTGATTACGTCTCTACTGCTTTGTCCTCAGATACCTGGCAAAGCTGTCATCAGTGGGGAGCATCTCGGATGAAGAAACCTGTGAGAAGCTCAGAGGACTCATCCAGAGGCAGGTTCAGATCTGCAAGCGCAATGTGGAGGTGATGGACGCGGTCCGCAGGGGCGCTCAGCTCGCCATCGACGAGTGCCAGTTTCAGTTCCGCAACCGACGCTGGAACTGCTCGACGCTAGAGAGGTGCCATTGGGATCAGGGGCATATGAATATGGAGAAAGTTCAACGCCTTTTCATCATTAATGCTGCTTTAGGGTTTAATCTTGAAAGATGGAGACATTGAACACTACGTGCTGAGATGCAGTCCAGGTGTACATGTACTTTCCAAGAGTTTTCCATACTCGTGGCCATTCGTTCCTGTGATGCTGCTTGAATTCAAGAATCACTCACCGTTAACGTACAGCGAGTATTAAAGCGAGGCTTGCCTTACTAGAGATGTGAACCGACTCCGAACAAGATGGAGTGGAAATATAAGTGTTAGCAAGCTGTTCAAAAGGAGCGCTTTGGAAATCAAAGTCGTTAGTTAACTAGCTATTGATGCAGACAGATGATTGGTGCTGAGCTGTAGCCATGCATCTGGCGCGAAACTGACAAAAATAAATTGTTTACCCGCTTGGGGTGCTTGGACCATGGATTCTGTGCACGATGACTCTAGCACTTTTCCTCTCCAGGCGCACATACCGCAAATAAACAAATCCCCCAGCATTCCCTCCTCCATTAGTCAGACCGAGTGACTGAATTATTTATGTACAATACCATAACTCCAAGCTTATCTATAGTAAAACTTGCTATCCTGTATGCTTTTAAAAGAAACTTAGGTTTGTAAAGACTGATACACTGAAGAGGACTATATTTCATATGAATGTATGTTAAATTGAAATATATGCTGTGTCAAAGACTGACATGCTTTTTGGGTGAATTGCTCTTTCCAAATGGTAATTTATGGAAGCAGGTGGTCCATAGTTAACCAGCTTCATCAAAAAGACCACGCTGAACAACATTAGCCAACTTGGTGGCCAAATCTGGTCTTTTGGCAGGGTATGATTTAATGGTCTCTGTGAACGTATTCGGACTTGTTTAATGGGTTTCGCACAAGGATAAGCATCTTCGTTTTGAATAATAGAAGAGGAAATTCTGGGTTACTTGCAATGAATGTCAGTCTGGGTGTTAAAATACTCAGCAGTATATCCACAAGATTTTAATGCGTGTTATGATTTAAGTGGTGGAAAAAATAGCTTAGTAACCTGCTTTCTATGCTGTCTGAATAGTTATATCCAATTTAATTTTACAGGGTAATGGCATAATCCATAAAATGGTGATTTATAAAATTATTGTAATAAAATTATCAGATAATTTAATATAAAATACAATTATCAAGTTATTTAATGCAATTATTTCTAAAATTATTTTTCTAAAATTATAAGCTTTTATTACATTAAAAAAAGTTGTAAACAATTACAAACTTTACATTTATGCTTTTAAATCATCCAAAGATTGGCCCCCACACACTCTATGTGCCTCACTATAACCTCATCTTTTGCTTTAAAAAAAAAAAAGAAAGAAAAGAAAAGAAGAATAAAAATAAAAAGAAATCAAAGGTCGAGTCAAAATGAGTTTTGTGGTAATCAACAATATGCCATATACCAGTATGCCATTTCTTGGACTGAACCCGGAATATTCTTTTAAGTTACACATTCAAAGCTGTCATTAATTTTTTTTTAAATAAATAACTTTTATTCAGCAATTGAACTGATCTAAGGTAACAGTAAAGACTATAATGTTATAAAAGATCTCAACTTCTTTCTATTCATCAAAGAATCCTGAAAAAAATGTATCATTAATTCCACAAAACTGTTTCTAATATTGATAATAATAATAATCAGAAATGTTTCTTGAGCAGCAAATCAGCATATTAGAATTTAATTGGACATGAAGCTAGTCCTGCTTAAAACCCTGCAGATACTTACTATTTGTGTCACAGGTACACGGGAAGCTGCATTTGTGTACGCTTTATCTGCTGCTAGCGTAGCCTTTGCAGTGACCAGAGCCTGCAGCAGCGGGGAGCTGGACAAGTGTGGCTGCGACCGCAATGTGCACGGTGTCAGTCCAGAAGGTATGGGTGCTTTGTTTGAATAATAATTATTATAATGATTAATCGCTATGAAACCACAATGAATCATTTTGATTAAATGATTATGATTGACGGTGAATAGTGCTTATCCTGACCAAGAAATGGCAAATTAGACAGAAAGAGTCATGACACGTAAAGTGATCAGACACAATTCCTGTTGTTCATTAGTGCGGATTATGAACAGGATATGAAACAGATTATACTACAATAATCGAAAATCATTCTAAACATGTAGTTAAATAATGGTCACACAAAACAAGAATGTGTTGAGACTAAAATACAGAACAGCAGGGGTTTTCAAACTGTTCTGAGAAAAAAAAAAAAAAGAGGAAAATATATTATATAAATATAATTTATATTTGCTGAGTATATGGTATTATTATTGTTTCATTCTGCTTTTTAAGAACTGGGCAGAGATAATGAGATTGTGATCGTTTGTTTTTTAATTATTACTGTTTTTTATTCAATTTAAAGTCCTAGTTACTTACTAGTTTAAGATTCTAACATCACACTAACAATGGATAGAAAAAAACCATCATAGCAAAATAAACAATTTCCATGTAACATTTTAATGATTTGCTTCAGTATAATCAAAAAGTTTGAAAACCTCTGCTGTAGACTACAGTAAAATAATTGCAGACCATTTCATATGATTAACTAAAACGAAATAAAAGCAGCCACATACACCGCTCTTCTCATGGATATCTAGTTCACTTACTAATGAGTGTCTCAAACTAAACTATAAATGACATTCAGTGATCTGATGTCACTAACTTGGAAAAATTGCCAAACTTGTACCTTGTAAACAACTTTGTTTCCAGATGGACTCGTTGCATTTCTCCATGCTTGAGTGTCTTTATCTCAACAGGTTTCCAATGGTCAGGATGCTCTGATAACATTGCATACGGGGTTGCTTTTTCCCAGTCCTTTGTGGACATCAGAGAACGAAGTAAAGGACAGTCCTCCAACAGAGCGCTAATGAACCTTCATAACAATGAGGCAGGGAGGAAGGTAAGGTGCTTAACAAACATCATGCTGAAAGGTTTAAACAATCATAATTTGTTAACAAATGACCTTCCTTTTACAATCCAAGGCAATTCTGAGCAACATGCGAGTGGAATGTAAGTGCCATGGAGTTTCAGGCTCCTGCGAGGTAAAAACCTGCTGGAAAGCAATGCCGCTGTTCCGCAAAGTGGGCAACATAATCAAGGAGAAATTCGACGGCGCAACAGAAGTGGAGCAGCGCAAAGTGGGCACCACCAAGGTCCTGGTTCCCCGAAACACGCAGTTCAAGCCGCACACAGATGAAGATCTGGTGTACCTGGACCCGAGCCCAGACTTCTGCGAACACGACCCCAGAACTCCAGGCATACTGGGAACCGCAGGGCGCTTCTGCAACAAGACCTCGAAGGCCATCGACGGCTGCGAGCTCATGTGCTGCGGTCGCGGATTCCACACAGAGGACGTGGAGGTGGTCGACCGCTGCAGCTGCAAGTTCCACTGGTGCTGCTACGTCAAGTGCAAACAGTGCCGCAAGATGGTCGAGATGCACACATGTCGGTGATCCAGAACGCAGAACTTCCCCTCACCACTTCCCTATATGCACAGGGAAACTAGACAAATTCCCAAGCATTTCATGCGACGGTAGAGGAACATGTCATACATGAGACTTTAAAATATAGGGGCGAATATACCCGAGGTCCCAATTGAGAGTATTTTTCTCTCTTCTCGTTCTGTTTTTAATTGTGGTTGCTCTCTTATTTTTATATATATATATCACAATAATAAATGACATTTTAAAATATATTGAAATAAAAAAAATTATTGTAAAAATTAATAAATGAAGCCTTGGTGAGCATAAGAGACCCCAAGCTTTTGAAGGATTGTGTACATGGTCATTATGAAATCCCCAGGTTAACCACACCTACTAGCACAGACCTTCTGGAAAATTCAGTAACATTACCAATGGTATCTTCCATCTCTATCATGCTTTACAGATGCATGCAATGGTTTTGGGGTTTGATGGATCAGGGTAGTGCCAGTTCTTGTACCAGTCAGGCAGCTGCCTAGTGACATGGTCTAGGCTGAACTCAGAGAGTCATGCCATCACGCCAAGAACAATAAATATTTATAGAAACTATTCATGGAATAATGGCAGGAATGAAGCTTTGTCGGACATGCATAAATGTGGTTTGGTGCTGCAACAAAGCGGCCCCAGAGATGACTTTCGTAAGCACCACTTTGCCGAGCTGCTGCCCAATCACTTGTGTTGTGTCACATTTCCACACATTTTTGGAGGTCAGTCTTATCTTTGCATGCAGTTTAACACGTGTATATAAAAATTTGTGGTCGGTTTTTCTAATGTTTTTGAAAGAAGTTTCTTAGGCTCACCAGGGCTGCATTTATATGATTGAAAATAATGTATATGCAATTTATTCCTCTTGATAGCAAAGCTGAATTTTCAGCATCATTACTCCAGTCTTCGGTGTCACATGATCCTTCAAAAATCAATCTAATATGCTGATTTGCTGTTCAAGAAAC